ACTTAGATTCCTGTGCTGCAATTTGCAATTAGTATGACCTTCATTCTTGAATCCTCCATGCCTTGACCAGAACTCCTAGAAAGTCTTTTCACAGCAATCTCTTGCCCATCAGGCAGTATGCCCTACCAAAGTTATAAGAAAATAGTTATTTTCATGAGAATAGTTCTTGAAATTATGGTCTGAAGGGCTAATTTGATCAGTTCTTTATCTGTTTTTGAAGAGGGAGGACCCGTCCCTCCACTCCAAAGAGCACCAGAAATGGATTTGAGGTCCGAGACAACAGTATAATCTGATTGATCGACAAAATCAGATTCTACACAAACAAACAAATCTATGATGGTGGTGAAGGGATTGAGCCAATATGGTTTTTACACGTCTTGGATTTCCCCATTAATCTAGGCATTTCTTGCTTCATATTTTGTTGCCTATTATTCGATAATATCACAAACTAGATGAGGAAAGTAAATTTTTCACCTTGTAAACAGGGCCAATCCTCCTTCTCCAAGCAAATTCGATGAAGAAAAGTTAATGGTTGCTTCTTCTATCGTCTGAAAACCAAACAGACGCACATTGTGCTCACCTTTTCCCTGTTCTTGCAAATCAATCACTGAAGAAAACCCTGTAGACTGACCTCCAACTGATCCACTCTGGTCCACAAGACTTCCCGGGCGTCTCATCCGTCTTCTATTGCAAACTGCCACATTCAATATTTGTTATCTACAGCTTTCTTTACAGAGGATATAATGAGCACAGGGAAAGCGAGGAAGCTCACCTTCCATTCTGCTCCTGTATTTCCACAGCAAAGAGAAGCCTCCGATTAGCAGCACAACTGACGACAATACAATGATCACAATGAAATATCCTTTTAATCCCTTCTTATGATCATCTGCAAGAATAAAAAGGGAATATAAACATAAGTCATCAACAAAGCATGCTATAATTGTCATACAAACATTTTACTTATTTTGGCTTTAAGTTAAAAACAGGGAAAACAAATTATAGTGTTGTTGCGTGTCGGACATGATTGTTAGAACAGCAACATGGTAAAAACAATAAAGTTATTTTAATACTTTGTAGCTTTGGTGTAGCTTGTCCTCATGTCTTTATATAGTGTTACTCTGTATCAACTTGTAATGAATAACAACAATATTCTCTCTGTCTCTTAGCTCATTACAATCTCATGCTTTCTCTCCTTGTATCATATCCAGATCTTGCCGATACAAGATTGTCTACATGGTATCAGACAAGGATTACTGATCCAGGGCATCCATGGCTACCTCTGATCTTTTCTCAAACATCCGAGCAACCAAGATACTACGGTAATTCGGCTCCGGTGCTATCCTCCTCTCTCAAGTTCGTTTGTCGAATCTCAAACGATCGATTCAAAATCCCCTCTCACGATAACCTATCATTTATGCAGATACAAATCTCCAAGATTCTGTCGTGGCAAATGGTTTTTTACCGTTTCTTGACGCTAAAACACCTATACCTCTCCGACGTGCGTCAAATCGGACGGAACTACAGTTCCGAATCCAGGCACACGCCAATGGGCTTCTTACAGATCAAAACCTTGGTGGCGGCTATCTGCTCCACCATCTCGGCATCCATACTTCCTTACGTCCTACATCTTGGATTTCAACATCGGAAATTCTGCTGAATCTTGAACCAAGATTCAGTTTTACCTCCGATTCCAAAGTAATAACAACTCACAGAACGAGTTGTATCACGTGTCGCTCAAGAACTCAACAATGGTTACAATACCTTAATGAGGTTAAGACATTAGTGGATCAGATTGCAGCAGCTGGATCCAAATATTGATCCTGGGAAAGAAAATTATTCTACACATTCTTAATGGCTGCCACAAACAATATCAATCGTTCAAAAACGACTATACGAAACAATGGCGACCTTGATCAAATTTATTCACTTCTATAAGGAAGAGATCCACATTGCTTTCGGACAATTTGCTCGGTTTTCTGTATCGACCGATCCACCTTCAAGCTCTTATTCACTAATAGAGGCCGTGCGTCGCAACAGGGAAGAAATCAAACCAATGCAACCATTACTACCTCTCGAGAGCACCCTGCAATACCTCCTCCCTTATGCCAAAATATGTTCGAAAAAGGGACACTCAGCGACGACTTGCTGCACAGACAAAAATCGGAATACGCTCGCGAACTACCAAGACTCAGAACAGGCTATGGTAGCTGATCTATCGTACGCGCCCCTACACTGAATGGTATTTGGACTCGGCTCGTTCTCAAGACACGAAACGGCAGATAATCTGTCTTCTTCAACACCATACAGTTGGTCATGAAAGTGGTCATCGTCGGCGATGGCGAGGTCGCAGTTAGCATCAAAACTTCTGGTCGTGGGTTGCTACCGACTCCCTCACGTAAGCTTACTCTTTCACAAATCTACATACCACCGCTCTTCACTATAATCTCCTGTCTATTTTCTCAACTAAACTAAGGATAATTAATATATCAAATAACATTTGATCCAAATGGGTTGTTTTAAGGATCAGAGCAACAAGACCTCTTCCCCCCTGTAGCTAGACTTGAAGCAATTAGGGTTTTGTTAGCCTTTGCCTATTTTAGAGGATTTAAATTATACCAAATGGATATTAAAAGTGACTTTTTAAATGGGGTAATTTAAGAGGATGTATATGTGGAACAACCTTCAAGTTTTGAAAAATTTAAACATCCAAATCATATTTTCAAATTAAAAAAGGCATTATATGGATTAAAATAGGCACCTAGGGCTTGGTGTGAGAGGTTGAGCACTTTCCTATGTGAGAGATCTTTTGAAAAAGAAAGTGTGGACACAACTCTCTTTTTGAAAAAATTGGGAGAGAAAATACTCATTATACAAATTTATATTTATGATATCATATTTGAATCTATAAATAAAAATCTTTGTGTTGATTTTTCTAAAATAATGAGCAGTAACTTTGAGATGAGTCTAATGGGAGATTTGAGCTATTTTTTAGGCTTTAGCATTAAGCAAAATGAGGAGGGTACATTTCTTTATCAGTAAAAGTATGAAAAGTATGAAATGGATAATGCTAAACCTGTTAATACACCTATGAGTTTCTCAATTCAGTTGGATAAGGACCCTAAGGGAAAATATGTTGATCAAAAGAAATTTAGAGGGATAATTAGATCTTTGTTTTACTTGACAGCTAGCCGACCCGATATCATGTTTAGTATTTTTTTATGTGCTAGATTTCAATCAGATCAAAAAGAATCACATTTGACAGCAGTGAAAAAGATTTTAAGGTATCTGTTAGGAACTAGAACTTAGGAATTTGGTATCCTAAGTTTAGCTCTTCATTTAAAATAATTAGATATTTAGATTCAGATTTTGCAGGTTATAGGGTTGATAGAAAGAGTACTTCTAGAGCATATCAATTCATTATAAATTCTTTAGTCTCTTAGTCTAATAGAAAACAAAATTCAGTAGCCCTATCTACTGCTGAAGCTGAATAGATTGCCTTAGAAAGTTGTGTGGCACAATTACGTTGGTTGAAACAATAATTGATTGATTTACGATTAACAATAGGCACAATTCCCATTTATTGTGATAACACTAGTGCCATTAATACCTCTAAAAATCTTATTCAACATTCAAGAACCAAACATATAGACATTAGGCATCATTTCATAAGGGATCATGTAACCGAAGGAGAAATTGAACTCAATCATGTTTCAACAGAAAATCAACTTGCAGACATTTTTACTAAACCATTATCCTTTGATACTTTAAGTACATTAAGAATAAGGCCTGGTGTGATTGACTTGAACGCTTAATTAAATGTTTCTGCAACATTGATATTTTTATTTGTGTATCTTTTGATTTTGTGACTTTATGTATGTTTTTTTTAGTGTTTTGTTCATGCTTGATTTTGCAATCTTCTATTAATTTGTTTTGTGTACTTTCACATCAAGATTCATAATTTTTGAGTGTTAGCATGAAAATTTCAAAGTGTGAAATTCATCTCTATGAAATTATTTTCGTACAGGATGAATCATGTAGCGTATTAATGATTGATTTGAACAGTTTGCATGCAGTTTTTCAATTTTTTAATACTATTCATCTGTATGATTGTGACGATCATCCAAACGATATGTATTCAATCGTATATACGCATGTAGATGGTTATACGGATAAGATCAGTTTCTTTATTTCTGATCGTACGTACAATTATTCAGTTTGTACATACGAACATGTGGCAATTCAATGTGGGGGACGTTTTAAACCATCATAAAAATGATCTTAAATACTTGATCGTTATGGATGAATACCTGTTCATCTGTACGATCATTTGGTCAAAAGTCTATACGAAAGGACGCCTTGTAACTTGCATGTTTATGAAAAGCCGTTTCTTTTTTGGACCCATTCATTTGTCCATATGAAATTTATTTTGTACGTACAAACCCAAATTCATCCTGGACGAAATAATTTTTGTTCGTACAAAAATTTATTTTTTCCTTAAATTGAAAGGTTTTGAACTCAAATCTCATTCACTTCAAAAACTCTTTCTATCCTCTAAATCTTATTGATCTTCTCTATGGCTAGTTCAAGCAAAAGAGACAGGCAAAAGGTACTTGCTAAGGGACCCCCCTCTAGAAACCTTGGAGAAAACTTTCTGTCAAAAGCAAATGAGGAGTCCTCTAGGTTCGTATCTGTGAAGATCATCCCCTCTAGAGTTTTTCTCCAAGAATAAATCACTTTTAAAATTATGGAACTTTTTGCTTCTACACATTTTGCACTTATTCTGAGTCTAGTTCACTTCTAGAACAAGAAACTTTCCACTACTTCCTTGTAAATATGTCTTTTAACTTTGACCAAACTGTGATTAGGTCGTATGTTTTTAAAAAGAAAGTAGATATAATAAAAGCAGATTTTAGAATATTTTTGAACTTAAGGACTCAAGGGATTAAAGCCCATACTTTGACTTCTTCCTCCAACTTTGACAGGACTGTGATAAATGAGGTTATTAGAGAGTTTGGAAATGAATTTCATTTACCTAAGGTGTCCACTCTTAATCGTAATGCTCGAACCATTCAGCATGTTCTTCGAACCTCCATTATTTCTAAAGCTGGGGATCGAGAAAATATCACCCCTCTTCTTTCCATAGTGGCTTATTTGATTATGACAAGCCAACTAATAGATGAAGCCCAACTGATTATTGATTATATTTATGAACTTTCTGAAATTGGCCATGTCTCACATAAGAGAAAGAAAAATATAGCCTTAGGACATCTTTTGACCTACATTATGGAGAAGAAATATGATCTAGTCCATCCAGTTCAAAATATAGAAGAGCCTATCTACTACAATGATGGATGTTATATGCTCGAATATGGATATGATAAGTAGATATTATAACTTATTTAACCAGCCACCTCCTCCTCCAGATCAGGGCCCCCTCTGAGTGATGATTGTACTTCCTTATGATTCTCTCTACCAGATGTGATGCGATGTGATTGTTAGCTTTTATGTTTTTATGTTTCATGTCATGTTATGTGATGTTGATGTTTATGTTTTATCTTTTTTTTGTGAT